TGCCCACACATGGATCACTCTCTAATGGACTCACTCCCTTTGAGTTCCAGAGGTGGGGCAGCAATTCAAAAGGTGGCCAGGGACAAATGAGGAGGAACTGAACTGTCTGGCTTCAAGGTGAGGGCTTGAGGAGCAGATTTCTCCCAGACAGATGTGTTGGCAGTAGCCATTGTCCCTTTGTTGAGCCTTTCCCCAACCCAGCCTACACCCCAGTAGGCCGGCACCGTATCTGAGTCTCCAACCACCTGACTAACTATCCTTACCATCCAGAGACCCCACCCTACCCAACTTTTGGGTCCACCCAAGCCACATCCAGTAGCATTTCCATACAGTGGTCTCTCTTGTCTCATGCTGCAGACATATCTAAAATTTCTCAAAAGTTCACAAACCCCAAACAAGCAGCATCTGACCTCAGTGTGCCCCCATCCTCTTGCTAAGCAGCCCCAACCCCGTCACTAGCGGCAGCAGGCCTTAGTTTGCAGCTTAGCCTCTCTTAGGCACCTCCAGGCCCAGCAAAAGTGAAAACCATCTGCAGATCACTTTGTAGCTCATACCAAGTGGCCCAGGGAAGAGCACAGGCATCAGCTGGCCTTGGCCTGCACCAGAGCTCCTCGTAAGAATCCCCAGAACCAACACACCAGGTGGCCAGCTTCAGACCACACCACAGCACCACCCAACCACCTCCACAAATGACACACCCAAAGAGCAAATTCGAAAGGCACCAGAGCCCCACACAACAGTTCCTTTGTAGGGTCAGCCCCTGCACAATAGCTCCTTCACTGTACTCACAGCCAGTTCTCACAACTAATCAGCCCTGAGGGTCAGCTCCTCTCATTGATGTGCTATCAGCAATCAAGGCTCAACTACTACAGGAGGGCACGCACAACCCACACAAGGGACAAACCTAAAGCGCCTGGCTTAGGTGACCAGGGAGACTGTAACCACGGAGCCCCACAAGACACCTACTACATAAGGCCACTCTACCAAGACTGGGAGATGTAGCAGCTCTACCTAAACAAACACAGGGAGGAGCCAAAATGAAGATGCAAATAAATGTCCCAAGTGAAAAAACAGAACAAAACTCCAGGAAAAGAACCAAACAAAATGAATGTGAACATCAACAAAGAGATAAGAAGCATATAAAAATGGAGAACACAACAAGTGAAAAGAAGAATACATTACAGGGAATCAACAGTAGATTAGATAAAGCTGAGGATCAAAATAGTGATTTGGAAGCTAAGGTAACAGAAAACACCCAATCAGAACAACGAAAAGAATTTAAAAAAAAATGACGGTAGTTTAAGGGGCCTCTAGGACAACATCAAGTGTACCAACATCTGCATCACAGGAGAAAAGAGAGAGCAAGGAATTGAAAACCTTTTTGAAGAAATAATGATGGAAAACTTTTCTAACTTGGTGAAGGAAATAGACATACGAGCCCAGGAAGTGCAGAGAGCCTCAAACAAGATGAACCCAAAGAGGCCCACACCAAGACACATCATAATTAAAATGCAGAAGTTTAAAGACAAAGAGAGGATCTTAAAAGCAGCAAGAGAAAAACAGTTAACTTAAGACAGTCAGCTGATTTCTCAACAGAAACATTTTAGGCCAGAAGGGATTGGCATGAAATATTCAAAGTGATGAAAAGCAAGGACCTACGACCAAAGTTACTCTACCCAGTAAAGCTATCATTTAGAATTAAAGAACAGATAAAGAGCTTCCCAGACAGAAAAAACTAAAGAGTTCATCACCACCAAACCAGTATGACAAGAAATGTTAAAGGGATTTCTTTAAGAAGAAGTAGTTGGAAAAATATAAAATATAGGAACAATAAAATAGCAATAACTACATGTCTATCAACAATTACTTTTAAATGTAAATGGGTTAAATGCTCTAATAAAAAAAAAAACAGGGTGGCTGAATGGATAAGAAAACCAGACCCTTATTTATACTGTCTCCAAGAAACCACTTTAGATTGAAAGACACAAACTACATGAACTGAAAGTAAAAGGATAGGAAAAGATATTTCATGAAAATGGAAATGAAAAAAGAAACTGGGGTAGCAATACTTATACCAGACAAAATAGACTTTAAAACAAAAGCTATAACAAAAGACAAAGGGAGGACCCAGCAATTCCACTTCTGGGTATTTATCCAAAGAAACCAAAAAAACTAATTTGAAAAGACATGAACCCAAATGTTCACTGCAGCATTATTTACAATAACCAAGATATGGAAGAAACCTAAGTGTCCATCAATAGATGAATGAATAAAGAAGTGGGACATATATATACAATGGGATATGACTCAGCCATAAAAAAGAGTGAAATCTCACCATCTGCAACAACATGGATGGACCGAGAGGGTATTGTGCTGAGTGAAATAAGTCAGACAGAGGAAGACAAATACCATATGATTTCACTTATATGTGGAATCTGAAAAACAAAATAAACAAACTAAACAGAAACAAACCCAGAGATACACAGAACATTTTGATGGTTGCCAGATGAGAGGTGGGTTGGGGGATGGGTGAAAGGGGTTGAGAAATACAAATTGGTAGTTATAGGATAGTCATGGGGATGTAAAGCACAGCATGGGCAATATAATCAATAATATTGTAATAACTTTGTATGGTGTGAGGTAGGACTAGACTTATGGGGGATCACTTTGTAAGTTATACAGATGTCTAATCACTGTGTTGTACACCTGGAACTAATATAATATTATATGTCAACTTTAATTGAAAAATAATTGTTTTTAAAAAGGAAGCAAAGGCTTCTCAGCCAGTGGCTCTCCTGGGCACCTGCCCTAGTAAAGCTGCCTTTCTGTTAAAGTGATCCAGGTCCTTCACTATGGGGGAGTCTGCCAGCCTTGCTGTTTGGGGAGTGGGGGAGAGGGGACACTGGCCAGCAGGGGTGAGGTTATACTGAGCTGCCCTAGTGGGTCCTGCAGCAGCTCTGTGATGTTCACATATGAGGAAGAGCACTTGGGAGCTGGCTGGCAGGCCTTCAAAGGCCCTTCCCCTTCTCTTGGGCTTGCTTTTATTTTTGCCTTGTACTCTCTGAGGGATGCAGTCACAACAGACTTTGCAAAGGGCCCTCTGCAAGGTTTCCCCACCTGAGTCCCCTCTCAGGCCGGTTCTACTCTGTCCAGCCAGCTGTCTCTGCCTGCTTTGCTCTAGATCAGGCCGGTAAAAGACCCACTCTACACATGGATTTTAAAAAAACATTTAGCAGCGCCCTCAATTCTATTTGGACACATCTGTACACTATCCCGTGGGGGGTGGGGGGTGGGCAGCCAGTGCAGGTGTAGGACAGCTGTCTGCTGGCTCTGGCGTGGGTTGCCCAGCCCTTTCCTGAGCGGTGAGATGGTAGAGTTTGGGGCCTGGAGAGTTTGGCCAGCACCTGTCCTCACCTCTGCCGGAGCTGTCCTGTAGGCTGTGTCTTGTGAGCTGCAAATCTCTAGCCTTTTCATTTGTAACCCTGACACCAGCGCAGAGAGATACTGATTCAGGGAGTCAGACATTCTCTCCTCGACTGTCCTGAGACGCCCCAGTTAGGTGGGGACTCCGAGGCACAGGTGACACACTCCTCCAAACTGTGCCAGCTGCACCAGGTGACTGCTAAATTATACATGGGGCAGGCTCTCCACAGGGTTGCTTTCCACTGGCGCACAAAGCCCTGTCCCAGGAGGCGCGCAGGCCCTGCGGGACGGGGAGCTGCGGGAGGCGGCCTACCCTCCAAACGGAGGCTCGGCATGAGCTCACAGCAAACGGGCTGCAGACACAGCCTCACCTGTCTAAATGTTCTTCCCTTGCGCCAAAGAAAAAAAGATTGCTAAGAGTTTAAATATCAAACTGTTAGGTTTTGAAACAAAGAAAGGCAAGAAGAAACAGAAAAGTCAGAGGTGCCAAATTTAACTCCGGTCAGATAAGAATCTGCCTCTCACTCCACCTGCGAGACTAACTGTCGGTCCGTGATTCGGCATCTTTCTCTTCCTTGGGCGTTTTCTTCATTCTCACTTTATTCCAGTTATATTAACTCATCTCCCTCCAACTAAAAAGCAAATCAAAGCAAAAAAAACCAAACCCCAAAATCTTCCCTTGTTAGAGTGACTGAAAGGCCACTTCACATAGAGTGACCCGAAAAAGCGATTCGTTGGACGAACGTGTGACATAACTGTGCCTTGAGTTTGTTTCTAGGTTTATGGCTTATTCCTGGTCATATCAAGCGGGCCACCACCCGATGCCGGCTCTGGAACTGTGGCGGGCGGTCAGGAGACTATTTGGAAACAAGTGGACTTACCTGACTACCATGGAAGGAAGGAGGGAAGGGAGGCGGGTTGTTGGTTTTGTTGCCGATTGGACTATTTGTTGTTATTGTTGTTGTTTTATGAATCCTCCCCTCAGGATATTTTTTCCACTGATTTTTAGAGAGTGGAAGGCAGGGAGGAGGGGAGAGAGAAACATTGATGTGAGAGAGACACATTGATTGGTTGCCCCCTGCATGCGCCCTGACTGGGGCTGGGAATCGAACCTGCAACCCAGGTACGTGCCCTTGACCGGGAATTGAACCTGTGACCCTTCGGGGTGCAGGCCGACTCTCTAACCACTGAGCCCCGCCGGCCAGGGCAGCTGATTAGATTTAAGTAGTTCGTTCTGGTGTTTAGGACTCTTCAGGCAGCGAGTGGCTAATTAAACAATCTCACTTTATTCCTGTGCATGCTCTCTCTTCAAATTGTTTTTCGACCGCCTGCTACGTCTCCGGAATTGGCAACCGGTGGTGGCCACGTTGATGTGTGTGAGGAATTCACGTAAACGACACAGTACACTTGTGGCATTTCTTAATCCAGTGAATAGCTTTTGTGGGTCTGAAAGGCCAGCCCTGCGACATACCCACACTAAAGGGCGCGTTGAAAGTGTGTGTATTTGCTTTGCTTGCTGCTAAGTGCGATGCTTTCAGGATATCGTCAGTGTTTCTTTTCTTCTGTCACTCCGACAGGTGGTGACCAGGAAGGAGGGCTTCTTCAGTGCCTGGAACTCCTGTCTGCACCATGTCTCCTCCCTGTCTCTGGCGCACATTCACAGAGGTCAGCGGCTCTTGTTTGGTATTTATAATTGAGTGACTCAGAGGTTATCTGGGAATGAGACTCTGCAGGGAAAAGACAGTCCCCACGCCATTCTTGGCCCTCTGGTTGAATTTAGGGTCCCCAAGTACCTTACCTCCCAACTTTGACTGAGCGACTGGCTCAGACCCCTACACTGAACCCCAGGAGCAATGCACTTAGCTCACCCACAGCTGCCAGCAGCACTGGCAGGAGCCAGCTGGCAGCCGGCGCGTCCACAGCGGTGGCCCTCTGCCCAGCGGTGACTGCTATTCCCAAGTAAACAAATGGGAGGTGCGTAGTGAGATAAAGGGAGGGCCCTTTAATAGGATCACTGCCTGGAGTGTGTCAAGTACCAGAGCCAGCTACTTAAACCTAATCCCTGGTTCAGCCTCTGAAAGCTGTCGCCTCAGCCAGAGGCGAGTGTGCCCTCCAGGGGACATGCAGGGACATTTGGGGACATTTTTGGTTGTCACACTGAGTAGGGGAGGCCAGGGATGCCCTACAGGGTGCAAACAGAGGATGGTCCCGCAACAAAGGATGGTCCTGCCCCAAATGGTGAGAAATCTTGAGTGTTCATTTTGACCGCAAAAAAACAAAATCACGTAAGGTAAAATGACACATTGAAAACGGTAAGATTCTTAAAGATAAGGTAAATTATTCTTGAAATTGTTTTTTGACCTCAAGACGCGTTAGTGGGTCCGTGTCATGCCCGCACCGTGGGGGGCATAGGAAAGAGAAAGGTGGGCCCTGTGTGTGTTTGTGTGTGGGGTTCCCCATCACCCAGGCTCGCTGCTGACCCAGGATGGCAGGGACAAGCATGGTCACTACACAGTTCCAGGCCCTGGCTCCCCTGTCCTTTCGCATCCCAGGGCGATGTCTTGGGGGTGGGATCCTCAATGGTTTCTATTAAGAGTCAAGCCAGTGACCCAGGAGTGAATGCCTGTGTCCCACCTGACCTCCGGGCCAGGCAGTTCCAGAAGAGAGAATGCCACGTCCTTCGTCGCACCGGGACTGCCCGGGACCCTCTCTCAGAGCTGACCAGGGCTGACCAGCAAGTAGTGTGGGCACAGATGGTCCAGCCCTTGGGACCTTGGTGAGCTCAGGACACAGGGTCAAGAGTAAGGACTAGAGAGAGGTGACTGTGCCAAGAGCACAGATTCCTCACGGGGTGGAGGAGCCCACAGGCACACCACAGCTGGGACCTGCCTTTTTACAGTGACCGCCTTGCAAGGCCTTGTAGCATCTCCGATTCTGACTCCCACCTCCTGTGCCCTGGGGCAAGGAGAGGGGCCGAGATGGGGCAAAGGTTCCCTCCCCACAGGTTATTCAGAAACAGGATGGGGTTCCCTTGTCTGCAGATCCAGAAATTTTCATTTATCTTCAGCCCACTATAAATGAGGCTCAGGGGAACTGACTGACCTTAATCAAACTCAGATGTATTAAAGGAGAATGCCAGTGATTCACCGCAAATCAAAACCCAAGTGCCCAGTCACGCGTACCTGCTCCATCCCCTCGGCGGGGAAATCTCCACCTGGAATTCAGCTGTAATCCGAGGGGTGCAGAGGTCGGACTGTCCGCACAGGGCCTGGCGGGGCTCTGCGGGTCCACGCTGGCCTGCCGGCCTGGAGGCCTCACCCCGGAGCCCACAGAGCGTCTGCTTCCCGGACTGTCCTGGTGCTCAGCACCCACCTTACCCCTGGACATTTTGTAAACCCCCCTCTTCCATTGGGCGGTTGTGTCTTCATTTATCGATCAGGCTGAAACTCCTCGGGGACATGAAGCAGCACTTAAGGGGACTCAGGCCTTCTTTTCCCTCCGGGTGGATGTTGTGGCTCTGATCTGGCTGCGGTCCTGGTGTCTGGGCTCCTCCCCCTGTGTCTTGGCCACGGCCATCACCCTTCCCAGGATGCGACATGGACCCCAGGTAAAAAGCTACAGACATTCAGAGATGGGACTAAATTCGAGGAGGGCATCAGAGACTCATGAAGTCATGCCTTCGCCTTAGAAACACTGACCACTGCACCTTGAGCTGCTCCTCCCACCTGCTGAGAGCATAAGAAAGCTCAGGGTGTGGGTGGAGCACTCCTCTCCCTCAGGCTGTCTGAATTCAGAGGCGGTTTTTACCCCCACCAGCTCTGTGACTACAAGTGAGTTAATCAACCTCTCTGACCTTCGGTCTCATCTTTATTTACAAAACGCAGATGCTCTGATATTTACCTCTTGGACCGTTGAGAAGACACTTCGAAAGCGTCTGACCCATAGTTGGTGTCCAATAAAAACGTTTTATTCCTGTTAATTACTAATCTCCAGAAACCTTAGCTCCCATACCAACATTGGACATTTCGATCCCTGTTCCTCAAGAGGAAGAAAAAGAGAAAAGTTATAGGCTCCAGTGCGCGAGGCCTTCACACCAGGAAGAAGCATCCAGGATTTGATGTTGCCACAGCACAGAAGAAATCTGAACCTTTTATTGGTTAATAGCCACGGTAACAAAGGTGATTATCTTCAGGAAATTGGCCTCAGGTTCAGTGCCAGATGAGGAGGCTTTGGCTGTATAATGGACCAGAAGAAAAATAAGAATCAGCTCAATGACAACATTTACAAATCTTGGGGACGGTTTGAAGTAGAGAAACCCATAGATTCCGAGGAGGTCTGTGGGATACAGACCGGGTCCCCGTGGTAGGAGCACTGAGCTCACAGCACCCGGGAAGAGTCGGGTTCCAGTCACACGGACCCCGGGCAGGGGCTTGGGGGCGGGTTGGGGCCGAGAAGCAGGAGCCCCTCCATCTCCAGTGACCGCCTGACGTTGCCTGCGGAGATGCTGGAAGGGGGGCACAGGAGGGAGGGGAAGGATCAGCCTGTGAATGCGCAGACCTTTACGTCACCCCAGATGAAAATGAGCTCGGGATCCAGCCATTTTTATTAGGAACAAATGGGAAAAAGCCTTCTGGCATCAGTATTCGTGTGTCACCTGAGGACTGGGAAAACCGTGCTTGAAATAAAAATGTTAAGCAGTCTCTAGTGGTTTCTGAAGTGGGATGTGACCATTACAATGATAAATTGTTATTTTCCTGTGATACACATTTTTATCTTGCCCTAGAAATAGCAGTTCTGAGGCGTGGAGCTGTCTGAGCCCCTAAGGGTGCACCAATTCCTCAACTAAGCACTTTTATTAAATAAATTACATCCACCATCCTCCAGCTCCGTGCAGACCTGTCTCTTGGTTTCTTTTTCTTTTTATCCCCCCTTCTTGAAGCTTGTGACTACTGCTCCGTATGCTGCAGGAAGTCCCTTTTTTTGGTTCTTAATAAAGGAACTAATAACTTAGAATGTTCGCATTAAGAGCAGGTTGTAATTATAATTAGAATATATAAATAGGATTTCTGCCTATTCGAGGATTAATTTCAGACTCCTCTCAGGGATGTTTTCTTTCCAAACGGGACTTTCTTTGTTATTACAGCGTCATTTCTGTACTTGCTCCACGAATGCACGTTCCCGTGTTCGTCAGGGACCGGCACCCCCCTCCCCTTTGTTCGTGGGGCCCTGTGTCCTTTATACAGACCACATTCGCCCTGATTTCGTCTCAGTGTGGCATCCATCAGCTTGAATGTGCATTCTGTGAGCTCAGGAAAATAAAACGCCAACTCCATCCAGAAGTCCCGTGTGAGTTTAGGTGCTTGTTGTCTTAACAGTCAGCTGCTGAAGTCCCCCGAGGCCTGTGTCCTTCCAGCTAGAAGGTGAACCTGCCCCCCGGGGTGGAAGCAGAAGTCGCAGGTCCACACACCTTGTTCTTTGACTAACGGGTTCTGCGCTGTTTTTGCTGCTGAAAGTGGAGCTCCAGGGGGAGGGGGCGATATGGCCTGTGACAACCTGTGAGCCTTTCCTTCCCCTGGGCACCCTCTGCTGGGGGCGCCGATCTTTAGAGCAGTCCCAGTGCCCTGAGTAGGTGGTCTAGAGGACAGAGGAGCCACCCCTGTTGCTGACCTTTCTCTTTGTCGGGCACCCCTTGACTCTGCGGGAGTGCAGGCAAGAATCCCGCAGAACAGCAGCTCAGAGGCCCTGAGGCTGGAGAGGAGCATGCCGGCTTTGTTTTCTCCATCTGGGTCACCTGGCCCAACCCCAGACCCCTTCACTCCTGAGAGCAGTGGAGTCCCTGGGTCCCTCACTCCCCACCCCTGAGAACTGGCCTCCACTGGCACTTGCACAGCACTCCCCGAGGGAGGGGCAAGGGTGGAGGCGCCTGGGGTGGGGACGGTAAGGAGGAGTGCCAGGGTCCTTTGTGCTGACACAGGTGGCGGCTCTGAAAAAGGGAAAAAGAAGAAATTTCACTGAACTGAGGCTTTGCAGCACGTAGACCCCTGGGAGAGCTGCCCTGGGCCACGCTGGATTTTAATTTTGTGCCTCACCAGCAAGTGGACACAGGGAAAGAGGAAGTTCTAGAAGGCAGACTGCCCACGGTCGTACCTTACTCGGCTCAGATGCTAATAAAATGTCACTCATCTTTCGCCAACTGTGATGACAGCTGCTGTCCCCATCGCCTGAGTGTTTCCTCCGTGCCAGGGCCAAGCTCACTGCTTGGCTCTCGTCATTTCTTTCTCCACAACCTCATAAAGCCCTCTGAGGAAACCGAGGCTCAGGGGTGAACAGTTGCCTGGATCTCACACAAGTAAATGGGGTGCTGGGACTTCACCCAGGCCAAAGCTGGGCTCAGAAGGCTTATTAGGCACCAGACTTTAAGGAGGCCTGCCCACCCCAACTCCCCAGGGCTTTCTTTCCTCCAGATGAACAAAGGATTGGGAATTCCAGCGTTCTCGAACTTTTGGAGGTTTCTTTTCCCATATTTATTCAACACATACTTTCCTGCGTTAAAACTGGCCTGACTGCCTTTCACTCTGGCTGGGTTTGTCTCTGAATAATGCTTCTTTTTCCCCCCCGCCCCCATCTCACGGGCTTTCTCTGGGGATAAACTGAAAACCATGTGA